AGTAAAAGAAAAATCCGTCCTAAAATTTATATTAAATCTTATGACTCTAAGAGACAAACAACATTGAAGAGGAAGAATGAGGCTGGAGGACTCACACTTCCTGATGTCAGCATTTACTGCAAAGCCCCAGTAACCAATACAGTGTGGTACTGGCATAAAGGAGAACTTCGAAATTAATAAGATAGAACAGAGAGCACAGAAAGAAATACTTGCATATATGGCCAAATGATTTTCTTCGAGTGTGCCAAGATCGTTCAATGGGAAAAGGACAGTCTTCTCACCAAATGATATTGGAAAAGCTGGATATCCCAAGGCAAGAATGAGTGGAACCTTTACCTAACATCATATACAAAAATTAACCCACAATTGATCAAAGATCTAAATGTAAGAGCAAAATCTACGCAACTCTTAGAAGAAAACAGGAGAAAAACTTCATGATATTGGATTTCACAATGATTTCTTGGTTGTAACAACAAAAGCATAGGCAACAAATAAAATGGATATATTGGACTTCATAGAAATCAAAACCTTTTATATATTGAAGAACATTATCAAGAAAGTAAAAAGGCAACCCATGAAATGAGAAAAATATTTGCAAATTATGTGTGATAAGAAATTAATTTCCAGAATACATGAAAAACTACAAGTCAACAACAGCAAACATCCAAAAACCCAGTTAAAAAATGAACAAAGGATTAAAATAGAGTTTTCTTCAAGGAATATATGAAAATATCCAATAAGCCCATGCAGAGTTCCTCAGAGTCATGAATACGTAGAGATATGCAAATTAAAACCACAATGTGACATCACCTCACACACTTTAGGATGGCTTTGATAAACAACAATGACAGCAACATAAAAAAACAAGTGTTTTGAAATAGATGGAAAAATTGGAGCTCTAGTGCATTACTGATGGGAATGGGAAATGTTATAGCCACTGTAAAAAGTGGTGTAGCTGTTTCTCAAAAAATTAAACAATAAATTACCATTCGATCCAGCAATTCCACTTCTGGACATACTGCCTATAGAATGGAAGGAAATTTGAACAAATATTTGCACATTGATGTTCAGAGAAGCATTACTCACAATAGCCAAAAAAAGGAAACAACAGAAAAGTCCATTGAAAGGTAAGTGGGTAGGCCAATGAGGTATATCTATACATCAAAATGTTATTCAACCTTAACAAAGAATAAAATTCCAATACATCGTGCAAAGTGGATGAACATTGAAGACATTATGCTAACTGAAATAAGCCAGACACGAAAGGATAATTATTCTATAATTCCATTTATAAAAGATAGAATAGCCAGTTACATAGAGACAGAAAGTAGAATGGTATGTGCTAAGGGATAGGGGGAGAGGAAGTGAGAGTTACTGTTTATTGGGTACAGAGGTTTAATATGGTAAAAGGAAAAAGTTCTGGAAATGGATAGTGTGATGGTTACACAACACTAAATTGCGCACGTAGAAATAGTTAATGATAAGTCTTATATTAGATATATATAAAGTGTCCTGGTAGTCTTACATTCTATAAATACACACTTTTTTCATTGCCCCTTTCCTGCCATGCAGAGCCCCAGAGGTGAATCTCCCTATTTATTCAAGTGTGCATCACTCACTGTCCTCTGTGCTGTGTGCCACATGCAGTGCCCACAGCCTCATACAGCCGGTGACTTCAGAGCCAGGACACAGCTCAAGAGTCTGCCCCGAGGCTCCCTCCCTTCTTATTTCCCTGCAACCTAGGCTTCACTTCAACTGGCAGCTCGATTTAGCCGAATTCAGGACAGGTCACCAGGGCTCTTTCTCCACACATGCTGGTCTCACCCCAGGTGGAGTCAGGCAGGGCCAGTCACCAGAGAAGCCCGGAGCAGAGAAGGGAGCAGTCTGAGCTGCTCCTCCCTCATCCAAGTGGCTTCCTCCTCTCATTTGGGGGGAAAATGTGAGCTTGTTTCAAAACCTCAGATGTTCCTTGTAGCTCATGGAGTAGGTAAAAGAAAACAAAGACGTAGCGGACAGGGATATATTGGTGACAGCAAGAAACAACTTGATCTTGAGGACTCTCCTTCTTGTCCCTGTGAAGCCTCTTCCACCACATAGGGCTCAGGGCTGACAAAGCCCCCTCCCTACCTTTCCCAGGCTGGACACAAGGTCAACCATCAGAAAACAGAAAAACAAGGAGAAGAGAGTCTGTAGAGACAAATTGGGAGGGTTCAGGAGGAGAATTTAGGATTTGCTTCTGCCCATGGGACACAGGCTGGGAATAAAAATATTTTCCTGACTTCTCTGAAAGCCAGATAGACTCCACCTGAAACCCTATTGACAATGATGCAGGGATCCACTTACTCACGACTGTGATCCTCTTGAATGTGGAACGTTCGCTGCCAGTGGCTGAGTTACGAGCAGAGCAACCATAGAGCCCACTATGCTTTGTAGTAATTTGGGGGATAGAGAGCTTTTGTCCTGATTGCAGAAACTTCCCATTAATCGTCCAAGAATACTCTGCCGGTGGGTTAGAGTTCGCGAAGCAAGACAATTCGAGGGTATTTCCTGAACGGTAATAGTTAAATGGAGAGAAAATCCTGGGGACTTGTGGACCATCTGGAGTAAAGAGAATAAAGCCACAGGTGATGTCATCCGAGGGAAGGGGATGCTCCTGGTCTCTTAAAGGGACACAGTGTCCCTCTGAGTCAAGACACACCCCAAGGCCCAGCCAAACCACTTCTGTGTTCACTGAAATGAGGCCTGAGGTATTCACCTGTTCCTGCCATCACAGGTTGTAGACCCCAAGTCTCCCATGACCAGAGCAGCCCCTCCCCTTCTATTCTTGGTAAGGCTGTGCCTACCCAGGTTTCCCCAGGGCAGGGAGTCATGGCCAGCTCGGGTGTCCAGAAATAAAAGTGTCTGTATTTGGACTTGAGAGAGACTGAGATGCCTGGCCTCTGGTCATTTGAATTTTAGCTGGTGGCCTGGCCCACAGAGGAACCAAAGATACAAAGGGCATCCAGGGTGACTGGGTCACTGCAGATGCTACCAACTCGGTCCCATATTTCACATTCATAGGGTCCTGTGTCATTTCTTGTGACATTGGGTAGAATGAGGATCCTGGTTTTACCGGGTTACTTTAGCCTGGGACTGACCGGGAGGCTCTGGCCATTTACCCTCCACAAGTAGGTGTAGCCCTGAGTCTTAGGTTCACAGGTTAAGGCTACAACATTCTTATTCTCCATGGGGTTGAAGTTGTTGCTGGTGATGTAAGGTTTGGGCAACTCCGCTGTGTGGATAACGGAGAGAAGTTTGTCCTGTGTGGCAGCTTTGATTCTTCCACAGGCATCCTTCAATCAGAGTTGGCATCTCCCACCTCTCAGCCCACCCGAGTCCTTGAGTCAATAGCTGGTGTGTGTGTCACAAGACAGATGTATGATGATCTAAGGGCTCAAAGACTGTGAGGCCACCTGCTCTGTCTTAGGGAAGCACAGACTTTCTCAAGTGTGAATTGATCAGCAGTGTTGGGTCATGGACAGACACGTGAGTGGGAGTCACAGCCCCTGGTACCCCTCCCAGTCCCTCTCTAATCAACTGACTGGCTGGTTCACCTTGGGTTCCTTACCTGGAATGTGCAACTGCTGGGCCCCTTCCATATTCCATCTTACTTTGCCCCCTTAGATGTGATTTCTCTGCAGCTTCCATTTCCAAGGACATTCTAGAGATGAGTAATAATGGGACTTCCCATTGTCCTGAAACCCTGAAGATACTGAGCAGCCTGGCCTGAGACTGGATGTTTCAGCAGAAAGAAGACAGGGGAGACCAGAGTCAAGCCTGAAGGTCAGTTCAGTCACCAGGCAGTGGAGGCACAAGGTGGGGCAGTTTTTTGCAGGTGTTTCATGATGACTTACTTGAGCCAGTGACCTCCAAAGATAGAGCAAAGTGCAAGAAATGATCTAGAAAGAGTGAAGGGGACAGGCAAGAGCTGGTGTCTTTGGAACAGAATCATATTCCCTGTTCTGGGTCCTTTAAGTTTCCTCTCCTTCTGCAGAGGGCAGGTGAGGACTATGTGGATCTTTCCAGAAATACATGTGGACATTTGCAAATGCAGAACTGACTGGTGGAAAGAGTGGGAATGAACTGCGGGAAATCTGGTCCTCATGGACCATGTGTGTTTGATGGATATGAGACAAATTCGGGGAGAATTTTTGCAAATATTTTCTTTCATTGGACACTCTACTCTCTGATTCCATGGGTTTGACTACTCTAGGGACCTCATGTAAGTGAATTCCAGAATGAATCTGAGAAGAGACTGCTGGTTGCCAGGAGCTGGGAGTGGGGAGAATCAGAAGTTTTTCATGTGAGTGCAGTTTCAGTTATGCCAGATGGGGAGGTTCTAGAGATCTGCTGTAGAGCTGGATGCCTATAGTTCACACAGACTGAGTATTTCTTATGCATAAGACTTAGGATAAAAAGTGTTTTGGATTTCTGACATTTTTTCATTCTGAACTATTTGTCATATACTTGCTGGTTTAGCATCCCAAATCTGAAAGATTCAAAATCTAAAATGCTCCAGTGAGCATTTCTTATCAGCATCAGATTCGTACGTCAAAGTGGGAGGTGATACGCCAAATACATTCTTGCTCCCCTCCTTTTTTTTTCTCTCATCACGTTTCCAGCTTGGTGATTAGTTTTTGATCAATTCCATACTGGCCATGCTGCGCTTGTATATTTTTGAAGGCTTCGGGATATGAGAGAGGCAGATTGCTATTTTCTATGTCATCAAAATTTTGGGCCTTTTCACGGTTGCATCTTTTTCTCAGTGTCTCTGTTGTGGCAGTCATTAATAAGAGCCTGTCAGGTCAGATTTAGGACAGATTTTTGTAATTCTGCAAAAAGTGTTACTGGGATTCTGGTAGTGGTTGCGTTGATTCTGCAGCTCACTTTGGTTAGCATTGTCTTGCTAACAATATTGATTCTTCCAATCCGTGAGAATGAAATGTCTTTCCATATATTGATGTCGTCTTTAGTTTCTTTCAGTAATGTTTTGGAGTTTTCAGGGTATAACCCTTTGACGTTTTTGGTTAAACTTATTCCAAAATATTTTGTTCCTTTTGATGTTAATGTGAATGGAAATTCTTTTCTTAATTTCCTTTCAGATTGTTCACTGTTACTGTATAGTCTAAAGAATGAACTAGAAAGAGTGAAGGGGACAGGCAAAAGCTGGTGGTTTTGAAGCAGAAACATATTCCCTGTCCTGGGTTTTGATTTTCCCTCTCCCTTTGCAGAGGGCAAGTGGCTCTTCCCTGATAGCCAGATAGACTTCACTGGAAAACATGCTGCCAAAGTTCCAGGGATCCACTTGCCAGGGACTATGATCCTCTTGATTATGAGATTTGTTCCACAAGTGGCTGAGTTATGGATGAAACAGACATAAACCCCTGTATATGTTTTAGTGATTTGGGAGATAAAAAACACTTGTGCTGATTGCTGGAACTTCCCATCAATCAGCCAAGAATGCTCTGCCAGTGGGTGAGAGTCTGCGAGGCAGGAGAGCTTGAGGACTTCCCCTGTGTGCTAATAGGTGTATGAAGAAGAAATGGTGGGGGCATCCAGACCATCTGGAGCAAAGAGAATAAAGTCACAGGTGATGTTGTCAGAGGGAAGGGAAAATCCTGGTCTGTGGAAGGGCCACAGTGACCCTCTGAGCTAAGTCACAACACTGAAGTCCCAGCCAAATCCCTGCTGTGTTCACTGATCTGGAGCCTGAGACATTCACCTATTTCTCCCAACATAACCTGTGGACCCTGAGCCTCCCTTGACAGAAGCAGCCTCTTCTGTCCAATTCTTGATCAAACCTAAGCCTACTCTTAGTAGTCATGGCCAGCTTTGATGTCCAGGGATAAAGGTCTCTGTACTTGGACCTGAGAGGGACTGGGAGGCCTGGTCTCTGGCCATGTGTATTTGGGATGGCAGCCTGGCTCACAAAGGAACAGAAGATACTCACAGAGGAGATTCAGGGTGACTGGGTCGCTGCGGCTGGAACTCACTGGGTTCTTCATTTCACATTCATAGGGTCCTGCAATATCCTTTGTGACACCATATAGCATGAGGATCCTGTTGTTTTCGCACAGCTGCCACGGGCGACTGATAGGGAGGCTCTGACCATTTATCCACCACAGGTAGCTTACATCCTGAGTGTCAGGATCACAGGATAAGGTCACAGTCTCCGTGCCCTCCCTGGGGTTTAAGTTGCTGCTGGAGATGTAGGGCTTGGGAGTCTCCACTGTGCAGATAACAGAGAGAAGATTGCCCTGTGTGGTACCTTTGATTCCTCCAAAGAAATTTTTCAATCAGAGATGGCATTTCCCACTTCTCAGCCCACCCAAGTCCTTAAAACCCCATGGCAGGTGTGTTTGTTACAAGACAGATGCATGGCAATCTGAGGGCTCAGAGACTCTGAGGCTGCCTTCTGTATGTGGGAGAAGCACAGACTTTCTCAAGTGTGAATTGAGCAGCAGCATTCGGTCATGGAAAGACACAGGATCAGCAGTCACAGCCCCTGGTGCCTCTCTGAGTCCTTCCCTCTCTAACTGCCTGCCTGGCCCACCCCGTGGTCCTCACCTGGAGCATGCAGTGCTGGAATCTTCTTAGTTTCAGTTTTCTTTGCCCCCCAAGGTATATTTTCTCTGCGGCTTCCCTTTCAAGGACATCCTAGAGATGGATGATGGAACTTCCCATTGTCCTTAAACCATTTGTGTACTGGGAAGCCTGGCCTGGGACTGGGTACTTCAGTAGAAATAACACAGGGGAGAGCAGTGTCAAGCCTGGAAGTCAGTTCAGTCATCAGGCAGTGGAGCCACAAGGTGGGGCAGTTTTCCCAGCTGTCTCATAGTGACTGACTTGAGCCAGTGACGTCTAAAGATAGAGCACAGTCCAAGGAATGACCTACAAAGAGTCCAAGGAATGACCTACAGTCCAAGGAATGACCTACAAAGAGCAAGAGCTGATAGATTTGGACCAAGACCATGTTCCCTGTTTTGTGTTCATGATGTTCCCTTCCCCCTGTAGAGGGCAGGTGAGGACCATGTGGATCTTTCTAGAAATACATGTGGATGTTTGCAAATGCAGAACTGACTGGTGGAAAGGGCAAACATGAACAGATGATGGAAGTCTGGCCCTCACGGACCATTTGTGTTTGGTGACTATTAGACCAATATTTGGGAAGAAGTCTTGCAGATACTTTCTCTCATTAGACATTCTACTCTCTGATTCTATGAGTTTGACTACTCTATACATCTCATCTCAGTGGATTCCAGAGTGAATCGGAGAGTAGAATAGTGGTTTCCAGGAGCTGGGTTAGGGAGAATAGGGCATTTTTCCGGAGGTGTGCACTTTCAGTTATGCAGGATGAGGAGGATCTAGAGATCTCCTGTACAGCTTCATGCCTATAGTTCATGCAGACAAAGTGTTCATCATGCAGAAAGCTTAAAACCAGGTGTTTTGGATTTCTAACTTTTTTTTTCTTATTTTGGAATATTTGCAGTAGATGTACTGGGTTAGCATCCCAAATCTGAAAAATTTAAAATCCAAAATGCTCCAGAGAGCACTTCTTTTTAGCATCACATCAGTGGTCAGAAGTGTTGGATTTGGGAGCATTTCAGATTTTGAATTTCCGGTTTTGGGATGCTCAATTTGTAATACTGTAATTTTCCCATAAAAAGTTGTCAGGAGTTTAGACATTATGTTATGTTCTTACTCTAGTAACAAAACCAAAAATGTTTGGAGGACACATTAAAATGTTGTCATAAGTGGAAATTTTTACTGATGGTCCAAACATCTAAGATCAATTGCTATTAGTACTATTTCTCATGATACCCAATTAAGATTTAGGTGTGGGATGAATTCCAGCAGGATCACATTATGCTCAAAGAAAGATGCCAAAGGTGATTTGAAATTAGCAAGTCCTTAAGTAGAGAGAGTGCCGTTAAAAGGACAGAACTGGTCAGTGTGTCAATTACATAAAGGGAGGAATGATGCAGAATTAAAAGAAGTGATGAGTGTTATGTTAGTAAATATAGAAAGAATTCCCTGTTTCTAATTTCTCTGCAGAGTTAGGAAAAATGGAGAAGAGCCCAAAACAGGTTTGTGAAGTGCTTTCTTCATTTTCTCTTAACCTCAGGAAATACAACTAGAGTTTAGGTTTCTGTGAATTAGAAAGAGTCTAAGTGAGACGCCAATGGCTCATGTGTCCCCCACAAGAAGAACCCCAACTTATGAAAATGGCATCATCGGGAGGAAACAACTGTACGTGGCACAGGCAGTAAAACCATCAGAGAGCACCCCCTGGCCACCTCTAACAGGTCCCCGAAACCACCAGTATTCCCATTACATGTATGTTACAGCCTTGGTAGTCGTCCCACAACTACAAAATTTTAAAAATTGCTATTGCCAACACAAAATATTAAATATGAAGTAGAATATGTTGTTCCACTTTCCCCCCAACCCCCACTCTTTTTGAACTTTCCTGTTTCAGTTTTAGAAGTTTCTCTTGACACATCCTCAAGCTAGGGATTCTTTCCTCAGCTGTGTGCAGTCTACCAGTAAGCATCAAAAGCATTCTTCATTTCTCTAACAGCTTTTTGTTGTTTTTTTGTTTTGTTTTGTTTTGTTTTTCTGAGACAGTCTCGCTCTGTTGCCCAGGCTGGAGTGCACTAGCACGAATTGGCTCACTGTAAGCTACACCTCCTGGGTTCATGCTATTCTCCTGCCTCAGCCTCCCGTGTAGTTGGGACTACAGGCGCCCACCACCATGCCTGGCTAATTTGTTTGTATTTTTAGTAGAGACGAGGTTTCACCGTGTTTGCCAGGATGGTCTCGATCTCCTGACCTCGTGATCCGCCTGCCTCAGACTCCCAAAGTGCCGGGATTACAGGCGTGAGCCACTGTGCCCGGCCATCTCTGAGGGATTTTAACGAGTTGTTGACTTTTGAGTTTGTTCAGCTGTTTACTTACTGATAGAATCAAGTGAGAAATTTCAAGTTTGTTATATGCCTGACAGGAAACCAGAAGTCTCTGGGAAGTGACTGGAGAATATGAGCTTCATAGTAAGTGGAGGATGGAGTTACGAGTGAAATGGGTGAAATCAGCCCATGGGCTTTGGAGACTGCAGGCCTGTCCAGCCTCTGACACCCTGGTGAGTCACTGCAACGATTACAACAGTGACAGCAAACTAGCATGGCTGACTCCACCTGGCATCTAGTCTCAGGCTGGCTGTTCTCACTCATTCCTGGACATAGGCCAGGCTAACCATGGGAGGAATTTAGTTTATGGTTTAACTTTGAAGCAAGAATGATAATAGTTCCTTCATAAGACTAATACCCTTCTTTTGCCCAGGGATTGCCTTTGTAAAACTGGTGAAAGACCATGAGAGTAAGATTACAGGAGGGAACTGAATTCTGCTAAAATGTAGGCACAGTTTCTATACTCCCTTACTGGTCAAATATCATTTGGCCAGAGTGTACAGAATTTGTAACTAACTGCTGCTATAGATAACATCACTATTGTAGAACCTGAGATTGGTCTTTTGAGATGTTTCTCATTCTTTGCATTCTGGCAGCTGGCTGATCTCATCCATACCCATGACTAATGGCTCAGCCTGGCACATGGTCCCCACCTAGAGGTGGATTCAAGCACAAACAGATCATTTCCCTCCGCCCGCATGATTCCATCCCCAAACAATCAGCAGTACCCATTTTTTAGTCCTGTGCCCCTGAAACTATCCTTGAAAATCTCTAACCCCTGATCCACTAGGGAGGCTGATTTGAGTAATAATAAACCTCCATACTCCTGTTTGGCAGACTTGGAGTCATTAAAATTTTTCTTTACTGCAAGTCACCATCGGGATAAATTGGTTTTCTTTGTGCAGGAGACCAGAAGAACTTGTTTGGGAATTATAAGAATGGATGGAGGAGCTGCCTATCCCTGTCCCACGGTCTTGTCCACAGATCAGCCTCACAAAGGGAAACAGCCCTGGATGGGGATACAGTGGAAGCTTATTCTCTTAGTGACCTGGGGACATTGGCTTGAGATGAAGCCTGGCAGGAGTGGCAACTCCAGGTGATTTCTGTGCCTTTCCTATTTCCTGGGAGGTGGTCCAGGCCACAGTGTTAGCAGGAAGGGAACAGTCAGCCTAGTTAGAGGGAGTGTCTGGGGAAGGGCTAGGGGTGGAGGAAGAAGCTGTGCAGGACAGGGCTTGCCAGGTAGAATGAAGTGGGAGGAAGATGAGGGACCAGAGAAGCAGAGAGAGGCAGAGACAGCACGGCAGTGAACAGTGGGGGCTACAGTGACTTCAGAGACCCCAGGGACCAGGTACCCCCATTTCCACAGTACAGGACCAGGGAGCCCTCAAAACCCTCCAGTGGCCAAAGAGCTTCCGAGTTACACATGAGGTGGGGTGGCTTTAGGGACAAGAGGTAGTGGAGGGATGAAACATGGGTGTCAGCCTCTGACGGACAAGGGACAGGTGTGGCTAGAATTCCTAGGATTCTGCATTCAAGATCCAGTCTCTAAAGAGGTTATGGATCATTCATTTTTTCATTCAATTCCTTCATTGGTTACGTGAGAGCACCTGAGGGTGTGTCTCTCACTGGGCCTGTGCTGCTGCAGGGTGTGAGTGGGGAAAACAAACAAGGTCTTCTCCTTTATCCTGTCATGCCAGTGACATGGACACTTTGGGAAACACAGGATTTCAGGTTCAGTGATAGGGGTTAAGATCTGAACGGGAGGCCTGAACATTTTTTGCACTGACTCTAATGGTTGAGGCAGGTGATTTAGTTCTGGAGAACAGACTAATCAGCTGAGCATTTGATCTCCTTCCTCTGAGGTTTGGATGCCTAAGAAGAGAGGATTTGAGCCAAAAAATAAGCCCTCACTTCTGGTGGAGGAGAGGATTGGCCTGTGACTGCCGACCGACCTCATGTGACCCTGATCTGCCTTTTGTGTTTGTGTGATTCTGGTTCAGTGACTGTGCCTTCCTGTGCCTCAGTTTTCTCTCAGTCAAATAAGCTAAATGGCAAATGGACTGTGGCTTTTCAGCTATCTGTGAATAAATTGTAAATTCTTCACAGTCACGTGACCTAATGCTTGGCACAGTGGAGGTGTTCACACAAACAGCATTTATTATTATTCACTTCCATGAGAGAGCACCTTTAGGTCAGATCCCTGTGGACAAGCTGCTGCCAGGTACATTTTCTCTCTTCTGTTTCTGCTTCTGGGGACATTAGAGTTTCTATGGAGTGTCCTAAGCCTCACAAGGCAGTTGGCTGATGGTCTACAAAGCTTGTCTTTCTGTCCTCTCCACTCTGAGTGTCAGCTGAAGAAAGCTCTGTCCTTGCCCAGATGAGGCTCTGAGGGCTGAGCCCTGGCTGGTGAGCAGCTCCAGGAGACACAGTCCTCAGACAGCTGGTGAATCCCCGGTGGCAGTAAGCCCTGCCACAACCCAGGCCTGGCACAGGCTCCTCAGCTTTATCTGGAATAAGGACTTAGGAACGGGGTCTAGGGTTGCGGCTTCTTGGGCTGAGCTTCTCTGAGAGTATCTCTGGGGGCCTCTTAGGCAAAGCCCTGCTCAGTTCTCCAGGGTGTTTCTCAGGGTCAAGTTTATGAAGAGGACATGAGGTGCTTGGCTGAGGCTGATCTCCTCCTGCTGAGCACCCCCCACCCCATCAGACTGTCCTTCCTGTGCAGCAAGTGTCTGCAGGGTCTGGAGGCAGGAAAGGAATTCTGATCTGTTGTGGTTTGTCTCCTCTGTGTGTGTCCTACACTAAATGCCAAAACCCCAACATGGGACATAATGCAGAGAGGGACATAGGCACAGTCTAGGCCTGATAATCCTATGTGTGCAAAGTAGAAACGACCCCGCCCCCCCAACACCCAGGGATCATGTGGAATCACTCACGGTACAAGGTGAAATGTACAGTTACTCCTTTAGTCTCCTCCATTCGATTCATGATTTTTACGGTGTAGGATCCTGTGTCCTGCTTGGTGACATTCCGGATCAGCAGGGATCCATTGGAATATAGTGTTTCTCTTCCACTGTATGCATACCCAAATATAATTCTTTCAGTGTCTATTGTATATGCTGTAATGAATTGGTGGAAGTCCATTATTTGCCCTTTGTACCAGACAAAGGCAGCAACTTTCTGGGGCAAATTGCGGACAAGTAGAAGAACATCCTTCCCCTCAGAAACTTTGGTAGGCTGAGCTTCAATCATGACTTGGGCAGTGGTGGGCGTGTTCCACAAGATTAAAAATGATGCTAGGAGGTGGAGAGAGCATCAGTCAATATTGAGACCTATGTATTGGGGTGAAAACATGGGGCCCTGGGACCTGAGACGATCTCTTCAATCATCAGCCTTGAAGACACACACACACACAAACACACACACCCCTTTTTTGTGTGTGTGCTTGTGTGTTTGTGTCCTACTGTTCCACTGGGTCAAGGTCAGCTGCACGACCCCCATTCCTTCAACCCTTCTGACCTCTGCATTTTTCTCTTTGGAATCCTCTTCCAAGAGGTCTGCATGGCTCCCTCCACACTGCCCACAGGTCCTGCTCACATCAGGGCATCCTTAGACTTCTTTCCTGACACCTCCTTCAGAGACCCTGGGTCTTCTATTTCTGACCTTTCCCTGCTCTGCTCCCTCCGGAGCTCTTGTCAACACCCAACCTCACATTGCAGATCTCTTTGCATGTCTGCCTTCCTGCCCATGAGAGCATGAGCTCCGTGAGGACAGGGACATTTGTGATCTGGGTTGTACCCCTGTGCCTGGGACAGGCTGCAGACTCCTGTAGATGTGAGAGTTCCAAGGACCCTCTATGCCCGGGGTGTTTTTATTTTCTTTACCCAATGGTTGAGGTTTTTTGCTGAGGACAGTGTTTAATGCCCTGCTTATATTTTCATTTGAAGTGTCATCTGATAATAGTTATTATCATTTTTCAAAATGTGGTGGCCAGTGATGATTAACCAGGAAAACAGAACACTTGAATTTTCCTACCTTTTACCAATTCCAGTTCAATGTGATTTTCCTGTTTTGACCCCTGTTCCTCTGTGTTATATTTTCCCCTATCCAGGCTCCAACAGAGCCTTCTTTCCTCTATTTTTTTTTTTTGAGACAGAGTCTCATACTGTTGCCCAGGCTGGCATGCAGTGGCACAATCTCCGCTCACTGCAACCACTGCCTCCCGGGTTCATGCAATTCTCCTGCCTCAGCCTCTCAAGTAGCTGGGATTACAGGAGCACACCACCACACCTGGCTAATTTTTTATATTTTTAGTAGAGACAGGGCTGAACTTTGTTGACCAGACGGTCTTGAACTCCTGACTTCATGATCCACCCACCTCAGCCTCCTAAAGTGCTGACTTTTATTTTTTAGAACCCCATCCTCTCCAGGAAACCCCATCCAATCATTCTGCTTCCTCCTCCTGTCCTCTCTGAGGAACTTTTCTACTCACCTGTGAGCAGGAGCTCCTTCCAGGTGATGTGTAGTGTGTAGGGAGGCGCTGAGAGGGGCCCCGTGGCCTGTGCTGCCTGCATGTTCTCCTCTGTGGAGATGAGCCTGGGATCCAGAAACTTTCTGAGCACAGCTGTCAGCTGTGCTGTCCTACCTCCCTCTGTGCTGAACCTCTTACCGGGGCAGGAGCACTTCTCAGGCTCATGGGCGGCATCTATGCCCAGGACACGTCTCTGTCCCCTCCCCTCTCAGTCCTGCCTCCTTGTCCCTCCTTCTCTTTTTCCTTTTCTCTGTGTGTCAGGTCCCTGGGAATTGTGGAGGCCTCTGCCTTTTTCAGCAGTGATTCTGTCACCAATCCTCAACACACACTATGTGCAGAAACACAAACACACACACAAAAGAGACACACACAGACACACACGGTCACACACATACCCTGTAGGTTGGACAAGCACAGTCCTGGGTCTCAGCCTTATGCTGTCCCCATGGCTCTCGGTCGGGTGCACATTCATGCCCTTTGCCCTCTTTCATCCTCATCTGGCTCTCCCCTTCAGTGCAGGAGGCTGGACCTGTACCAGGTCCCTGTTACAGTGACACCCCATTGTTCTGTGGGTGAGCTGTGTGTTGCCTGGTGAGAGGGACCCTTCCTTTCTCTAATTGTGTCTAGCTTGGCTGCAGCTTCCAAGGATGGACATTCAGGACCTGGGTGTCCCAGAGGAGACTGTCCTTCCTGGAGGTGTGCAGGGTGAGTCTCTCATGCCTCTTGGGAGGAGAGGCCTGTGCTGGTTGCTCAGTGGGGGCTGTGAGTCCCATGGTCAAAGGACAGTTCTCAGTCACTCTATTGCTCCCTGGGGACTGGCGGTTGAGCTGGGGCTCAGGGTTTCTCCTTTCTTCCTGACCATCTTTGGTGTCCTCTCTTCTCTGCCCAGCTGATTGTACTGTGGTCACCACACCTTCCCCGTGGTGGTGCAGGAGGAAGTGGGGAGTTACCCAGGAATCCCAAGGAACATGGCTCCTTGAGATACAGGAAGGGGAGCCTGGGACAGAGCAGGGGCTCAGAGCTGGAGAGATTCATCCCAACTTACTCCGTGGTCGTGATGAGCTCAGCCCTCCATGTGCTGACATACTCAGGGGTCTGTCCTGAGGGTTTTGACCTGGCCAAGATGCTCTCTGTAGAGGAGGAACAGGCAGTCACCAGAGAGCCTGTGTGGAGGGACGTTGCTCACACCTGAGAAGGCGGGTGGGAGTGAGTTGTATTCTCGGAACAAAGAGCAATAATACCCCCTTCTCAAGGGGGTATCTTCTCAAGGGACAGCTGCGGGTAGGTAGGTGGCCACATCCTATGTGTTGCCTGTGCGTGACCATCACACGCGCTCTGAGCCCCACGGGGTGCAGCGGGTAGGCAGTTTCACAGAGTGTCTGACTGATTCCCGGGGAGGCTGTGGGCCCTCAGGCAGCCGCTGTTCTGTGTCAGTGCCAGGCTTGGCCTGGGATGCCCCACAGAACAGGACAGATGGAGCAGAGTCGGGCATTTAGGGAGCAGTGACAGAAAGAGTTGATGAGGATGGAGGGAGGTCACGAGGGCAAAGCGCACAGTGTGGCGTGCACCAGCGCTGCCCTGGGAGATGTCTTTTTAACTGAGCCCAGGGAAGGAGCAGGTGTGTGGGGCAGGAGCTGCCTGCAGAGGGAGTGGTGTTAGGTTGGCGGCCGCCAGGTCAGGGAGGAGCTGACAGAGTCCATGTGGGGAGCATGGAGGACGTTGAGGACTTGGGCCGAGGTGACCCTGGTGAAGGTGGACCTTGCTTGGCTACCAGTTCTGCTGAGGGAGGTCGGCATCCCCTGGGAAGGCTCCAGGCTGGAGGGACTCTGCCGCCCTCTGGTGGACTGGAAGGGAAGTGTGGGTGGCCGAAGTCCCAGGCCAGGCTGCGTGTTTTATTCCACAAGGATCTGCACGTTTCAAACGAGGTCACACATATGCTATGTTACAGCTCCATCACCTTCCAGCCCTGTGAGTCCCAGTCTCTGTGGTTATACGTTCACCGTTCTCCCTCTTTCACGATCGCATGTTCCAAACGCAGATTTTTATCATCTTCTGTGAGTTTGTGTTTGTGTGCAGTAGGTGGCACTGTGTATACCCTGGGGGCAGTGATGTCTGGGGCTGAGCACTGCACATGGGCTTGGGAGCAGAGGATGGAGCAGCACGGCGGGAGGATCAATGCCAGGGGAGTAGGGACAAGTCCTTTTCATTTTCTCACTCCCAGGGACCAGAACCCAGGATTCTGACTCCAGGGCGAAGTACCACACCCTGCTGGTGTCCCTGGATGTCATGAATGCTCATAATATCATGTTGCCTTTGCCTTCATTTTTTAAAGTGTAAATTTATTTGCCTCACATCAGAGGCAGGCCTTGCTCACCATGGCAGTTTTCAATACTGTATTTGGTTCAAGTGACTGCAGTTGGTGGCCAGCGATAAAATCTAAGAGGCATCTCTCCTGCTTGGTGTGCTGGGCTCCTCTCTCTCCATCTACTTTCTTTAAACTGATATTCTGACATTTGTCCTCACATTTAAAGTGACTGCTTCTCAGTCACAGCATGATCTCCTGGTCCCAGTGTTTGCTGCTTGTTTTAAACACATCCATTAAAGCTCCCTGCTGGAAACCTGTCAGACAACACCTGGACTTACTAAAGTCATTGGCTTTCGGGTCTCCTCTCTCCTCCCTGCCTGGGTTCCCTGACCTCTGTATCTGTGGTCTCCAGGTGTGCCGAGTGCTCCCCAGTGTCTGTAAGTAGTAAAAACACTTATGCTTTCACGTTGTGGTTGTACCATTATAGCCTCACATGCCGTCCAGGGCCTGACATCGAGGCTGCCCTGTGGGACCTGTGCTCATTGAACCCCTGCTGGAGCTCTTGTTTTGGGACCTGCAGTTCTTCTGGGGAGAGGAGCTTCCAGCTAACTTGATTGAAAAACTGATATGTTTCATGGAAAACACTGGGTCAGATGATGTCTTCATGGGCTTCAGCTGCCATAACAAACATCTTAGCCTGGGTGAATTAAATAATAGAAATTGATTTTTCACAGTTCTGTGAATAATGTGCTATTTTAACCACTTTAAAATGTGCACTCAAGTGGAATTAACCACATACACAGTGTTAAGTTACCATCACCACTATTTTTCCTAGAAAACTTTTATCTTTTTAAACTGAAACTTTGTATCTTTGAAGCTATAATAACTCCCTGTATTTTCCATCCTAGACCTTGATCATTTCTACTCTGTCTCTAAGAATCTGCCTATTCTTGATGTTTCATATAAATGGAGTTATATATATATATGTTATTTAGTTTCTGACATATATCGTTTAGCATAATGTTTCCAAAGTTGATGCATTTTCCAGCGGATGCCAGAGCTTCATTCCTCTTTATGGCAGATTAACATTCTGTTGCATGTTCACCATCTTTGTTTATTCATGTGTTGATGAACACTTGGATTTTTTTCATATTTTATCTTTTGTGAGTAATCCTGCAATCAACATTCCCCTTTGAGTACCTATTTGAGTCCCTGGATTCAATTCTTTGGGTATATACCTAGGAATGGATGCTGTTTCATGTGAGAATTCTATGACTGGCTTCTAGAGGAACAGCACAACTGTTTCTCCTAGTGGCTGTACCTTTTTATAATCTCACCAGCAATGTATGAGGATTCCAAATTTTACATAAGGCTTTCACTTGTTATTTAACATTTTAAAAGGATGGTAGCCATATTTGTAGGTGTAGTGTGGTATCTCATTGTGGCTTTGACTTTGTATTTTCCTAATGACTAATGAGGTTGAGTTTCTTTTCATGTCCCTGTTGATGATTTGTATATCTCCTTTGAAGAAATGTCTATTTGCATTCTTTGACCATTTTTATAAATTGGTGGTTTGCCTTTTCATTACCGAGTTGTAGCAGTTCTTTATATATTCTGGGCGTGAAACCATTGTCTTTGTGATTTGCAACTATTATGTCTCATTTTGTGTTTGTTCTTTTTATTTTCTTGATAATATCTTTGATGCACGAAAGGTTTGCATCTTTAGCCCAATTTATCTATTTTTCCTTTTTCTTTCTCATGCATTTGGGTCACACCTGAGAATCTATTGCACATTTGAGGTCATTAAGTTTCACCCCTATGTCTTTTTCTAAGATGTTTTTATGGTTGTAGATCTTACAATTAACTCACTCATCCATTTTTAGATAATTGATGTGGTTGGAAGAATAGTTCTCTAAGGTTATTGTTTTGCATGTGGTTATCCAGTTGTTTCTGCACCGTTATTTGAGAGGATGATTGTTCCTCCATTAAATTATCTTGACACCCTCATTCAAGAGCAATGAACTATAAGGGTGAGGATTTATTTCTGGACTACAATTCTATCCCTTTGGTCCCTATTTTTATTTTTATGCCAGCAGCTTCTGTTTTTAGTACTTGTAATGTTTTGTGAAATTTCAAATAAGAAAGGTCAAGTTCTGCAATTTATTTTCGTAAAATTGTTTTGACTCTTTCAAGGGTACTTTTTTAAAAGCAAGAAGACCAACGTTTTGCAATTCGGAAGCCTTTTCTGTCATCTTTCGCAGGGGAATTTTGCAATCTAGGGATCTTTTCAGGAACTTTATCCCAAGTAGGTAAATTATCACCACTTCCTTTGCTGAGGTACTGTATTAAAATGTGTGTTGCCTCCCGTTGAGGAATTGACAGACCCTGGAGGCACTTGCCCATGTGATGAGGTACAGTGAGCTCCTCAATGAGGGGCACAGAAGACATTACTTTGGGACACAATGTTGTCAGGTGAGCTGTGTGCATCTCTACTTCTTTATTTTCTTATACAGTTTAGATCTCTGCTGGACATACTAGATATTGAAATCTTTGTTCATTCTCTTGGCTCTGGTTTGGCTGACCTGTCAGCTGGAGCTGGAGGACATGCCTGGAAGGGGAGTGACCCCCATGGGAAAGAGTAGGGCTCAGCAGAGTGAAAGCAGCTGAGACCCAGAGAAACCAGTGAGGTCTGACTCTTAGATGTCAAAGACCAGCAGGTGGGTGTCTTCAGGGGCAAATGGACGGCACTGGTACCCATTCCAGTGGACTGGAGAAAGGTAAGAGGCTTTGGATATTCCATTTTCTCTCTCAGCTCTTCAGCAGGAGATTTGGGCCCTGGGCTGGTACTGTCCTGAAGCAGGGGCAGGGTGGACAGAAATGGCTGCATATCAGGCCTAAGTCCATGTCATCCTCTCAGGCATTGCCCCTGAAGATAGAGAATTTTGTTCAGGGTCCCATCCTGGGCACATGGGAGGAACCATCTTATTAAAATTAATTTAAGAAAACAGTATGCATGCTTTATACTTCTAGAATAATTATAAATGTCATGTTTTACAATATATCTCTTAAAGGTATGGTGAGAATCATCTACATAATGTATGTTTTAGTTGGTCTTTTCTATAATTGCAGCTTTCACATGTTCTTATAGAAACCATTTCCTTCGGGAACACACAGGCAGTATCTCTGTGTTGATTCCTACTGGGAAATCCTTATGCAGGGTGGAGAGAGTCACATTTCCTAATGAGAGCTGGAAAGCATCTGACTACTAGAAAACGTGTCCAAATTCTGCTGGTATGATCATGGTCCTGCAGGTGAATGTCTGTTTAAGGAGGATTCAGGCAAAGCAATTTTGAAAGCCTTTATCATTGTTTTTGTTTGTTTATTTGTTTTTTGTTTTGTTTTTGTTTGTTTTTTACAAAACCATGGGCAGAAGCCACCACCTGGACCCACCACATGTTGGAATGGATGAGGGACAGAAATGGAGCTCAGTAAATTGAGAATGAAATTCAGGAATGGGGAAGAGGTTTGAGAGATCAACGGGTGTGAGAGGTGAATGGGTGAATGATGAGAATGTTCAAAACATCTTGTTTCTCCATAATAAGAGAACATTTATGCCCCTGAGTCAGATAGTGTCCAGGCCAGGGGGAGCAGGATGTTGTCAGCTCTCCTGGGCAAAAGTGAGACTCCAGCAGTGTCCAGTTACTTGGTCCAGTTTGGGATTTATTCCTGTTTTAAAAATGATCCAACAGTATACAATTTTGAAAATATACAAAAATCTCTATGCTACCATTCATAGATAGACAACATGGCCCTAAGATGGTGAGAGAATCAGAATGGGGTTTGGGTTTACATTGTGTACTTTTTTTCTCCCTATATATACAGAATTCCCTACATCAATTTTTTATTGTAACCCAGTGGGTGTCTTTCCCTTTCACAGTTACAGACGTTTCCAGTTCACGATTAAGACCCTTGGAAAACCCACACCTTTTCTACTCTGAGGTACAGGGAGCCATGTGGCATCACCTCTAAACATGCCTTCTGGGACATCAAATTGCTGATTAAGTAAAAGTCATTTCAGTAAATATTGAAGACCTCCATTTTACCCCTCTTACACTTGTAATTCTTATACCAAGAGGTGATGAATTTTAGTGGTGATTTGCTTTTATAGATTAATGTAGATTAATGCTTCTGCCAGGGGGAAGTTTTTCATTGGGAAAAGCATTTGGCGAAGTCTGGAGACATTGCTGTTGTCAGAGCTGGGGGAGGGAGTCCTGCTGGCCTTGAGTGGGTAGAGTCCCCAGATAGTGTTGAACATTCTAGAGCTCACAGAGCCCCATCAGCATGACCACTACAAAGTTCAATGCTGAGGAGGTGTGGAGAGCCCCGATATGCCTCCCCTAGCTTCCCTGGAGCTTTTTAGGTTCTCCTTCCATAAGTCTCTATAACTTTCTCACCTCAGCTTGCTCCTTGAACCTTAGTGCCCTCCACTTGAACTTTCCCATAGTTTAAGACCTGCTGTAATCTCTTGACTTCCTTTCCCCCTTTCTGAACCTTAGCAGGGTGTCCTCTAGAGGGGATCCTCACCTTTCCTAGAGCTTCCCAGGATCCAGATGCCACTGCCCTGTGTGGGCACCAGGGATATGGCCCTGTGCCTGTGTCCCTAAAGGTCCTGTCACTCAGGACTTTTGTGTGAGAGCAGCTGAGGTGATATTACCCTCCCTTACTTTTCTTGGAACATAAAAATATGTACAAACCTTGGAGAGTAAAATTTCTTAATGCATGTGAAAATTTAAAAAAATATATATTTTTGTCTCCCAAACTTTACTTTCAACAAATTACCTTATATCTACACAATAGAATATGATGCAGCTGCATAAAAAGTATACAATCTGTCAGCTATTCATATGGAAACACCTCCATGTTGTATTTTAATTATAGCATCTAAACATCACAGAATAAGATGTAGTTTTTGTACTAGATCTGACCTTAGAACATTATTTTTACTGTATTTTTTTTTTAATTTAAAGAGAGAGAGTGTCTCACTGTCATACCAAGCTCGAAATGCAGTGGCGAGATCATAATTGACTGCAGCCTCAACCTTGTGAGCTCAAGTGATCCTCCTGTCTCAGCCTCTTGAGTAGCTGGAATCACAGGCACGTGCCCCCATGCCTAGCTAATTTTTTGTGTTTGTTTCTGGAGAGATGGGGTTTCACCCAGGCTGGTGAAATCCCAGGCTTTTCTCAAATTCTGGGCCCAAGTGATCTGCCCACTTTCACTCCCAAAATGCTGGAATTACAAGCGAGAGTCACCACACCTGATTCTGCCTTTTCTTTTTTTAATTGGACTGCAGTCTACTCATACTCTTTCCCCATCAGGTGATTTCTATTTTTCCTCAATGTCTCAACCATATGTCCATGCCAAAATCCAGATGGATTTGCTTTTGTTTAGAATTAGATTTTTTTTTTTTTTTTTTAAAGAGAAGCCTTAGGAATTGTCTCCTAGCTGATTTTCAGGATTCTAATCTTCACTGTCTAAGCCATATGTTTGCATTTCCAGATATTGATTACAGTCACCTGTAGAGCATTTAAAGCCTACCAATGCCTGTACCATCCCTCAAGCCTATCTGATTTGGTTGATGTGTGGTGTAGCCCAGAGGTTGATAGTTTAAAAATGCATTCAAGGAAAAGGGTCATTTTGCAGTGGAGGAACTTTAACCCAGTGATCAAAGTTAATGTCTTCAGTAGTCAGAGATAACAACATATTAGGGCATTCTAATACAATGGATGGAGAAGGTGCAGCATCATCCCTGTGGTATTCTTCTACAAACTGTATAACCTGAGTTTAATCGTGAGAAAATATTAGAAAAGTCCAAAATGAGGATCTGCTACAAAATAAGTAACCAATACTCTTCAAAATTGTGAAGCTCTTAAAGGTAAATCCTAACTTTCCCAGATTATAGGAGACTGAGAGAACAGTACAATGAAGAGCAATATGTGATACGAGATTGGATCCTGGTCCAGAAAAAGGACATTAGTCAGAAGATACAGAGGATTTGGATAAGGTCTGTACAGACATTCATTTTACAGTGTTAATAATCATTTATTGATTTTGATTATTAGGTGCATATCTATAATGTAAATATTTGGGGAAGTTGAATGAAAAGCATATGAGGACTTTGCCTATTTTTGGAACATTTTAGAAAGTCTGAAATTATTTCAAAATTAAACATGAAAAGAAAAGAAAAGGAATATAGATCTGTTAGATATTTCTATTAAGTGTCCAAAGTTGAAGATCATTTCCCAACTTTTTCTGCCTAATGCTGGTCAGAGTAATCTTCCTGGAAATGCTGTTTGTCATGTTTGTGACCTTCTCAAAGCTTTCCAGTGACTTCTCTTATCTGTAGGATGAAGTTCCCATTACGTAGGCTGCCATTCAGTGTCCTCATAGCATGGCCCTAATCTCCCTTTTTTTTTTTTTTTTTTTTTTTTTTTTTTTGATCTGTGTTGAAAGACCTGACCAACATTTTACTTTCTTATGGTCAAACTTGTTCTAATTTTTTCTTGCTTGTCTGATGCCCTTCCCTGTCTTCTCAATTTTGGGACTTCAGTCAAGGTGGTGGTAAATATTTTAGAAGAAAAATTATAAAGATAGTTACAGGAAATAGTCACAAATCTTCTTGGAACCTGGGGGTTTGCATAGCTTCTGTAAAAGGTTTGGCTGAAAGCAGTTGAGTTATCTTAAAAGCTTAGGGCATAGATACAAAGGAATGTAGAGGAGTTTATCTAAATAGCTTCTTTACTCAGTGGGTCCTATCCAACATTTAATCTTATGCTGGGGGAACTGCTTTTGGGGAGGTCGGCAATGTCAATTACCTTCTAGTGGTGTTTACTCAAGACCTTTGTTATTTAATCTGAACTAAATTAATGCGAATTTCACTGGCAGATCAGGGCCACTGCTGTTAACTCTTTAATGGGCCCTTCTATGTATCCGTGAGTGACTTGGCCACCTAGCCTGCTCTTTCACTGGATATTAGTGTCTGAGTGTATTTGTTCATCCATTGCTGGGTCAGGGTCTGCCGGCTGGAACCAGACATCCATTGCTGGGTCAGGGTCTGCCTGTTGGTGCCCTATGTGAGGACCTGGCATGTTGGTGCCCAGGTCTGAGGTATACCTGCAAATAATCATGACAGAACCTCTGAAAACTAAGGAGAAGACTGTGCGGTTGGTAAGCCAGTAGTCAGTAAGTCAGTAGGTCATCGGTGCCCGCTTGGGATCTCCAATTTCGAGGGAATTGTTCAGGGTAGGCTTTTATCATGGGACAACAGTTATCAGCACAACAGGAGCAGTATCTAAAAGTATTCACACAGCTGCTTAAAGTCACTGGAGCTTCGGTTTTGCAGGCTCAATTAAGGGACCTAATGCAAATTGTATCACCTAACCCATGGTTTCCGAAAGAAGGTAAGCTAGACATAGAGCTTTGGGAACAAGTGGAGAGAAATCTTTTCGTTTTGTCTTGTTTTGTTTTGTTTTGTTTTGAGAGAGACACAAAAAACAGAAAAGGGGGAGATGTGGGAGTTCAGTCAGGGTGGTGGAAACGATTTTAGAGGAAAAATTATAAAGATAGTTATAGGAAATAGTCACAAACCTTCTTGGAAGGCCAGGGAGGTTGCATAGCTTCAGTAAAAGATTTGGCTGAAGGCAGCTGAATTCTCTTAAAAGGTGTAGATACAAAGGATTGTAGAGGAGTTTACTCAGGTGGTCTTAAGAACAACCTTTGATTATCTGCAGGTGCATGATTGCTCTCTACTCGGGAGGTTGATAATGTCAATTATGCTCTAGTGGTCATATGTCCTTGAGGACTTGATTTGTGACCAAGTCGGAGCACTCA